GTTACTTTCTGAGCTCCTTGGCATCTGAGCATGGATATAAAGTCATCAGGTAGATTTCAATGGTAATGTTTTTCACATCTACTAGTTATTAAGAAGCAAATTTTTATGCTTTGAATAATTTTTTTTTTAATAGACGTACTTCCCAGGTAACACCCTCCCCCCGCTAGAGTCCTTATACTCTGATATCCCTGCTACTGTCTGCTGTGTTGTCAGCACCCCCAGCCATTCCCCACTACTTGTCCTTCTGGTGAATCTAATCAGCTTATCTAGAGGTCTTTGTTTTAGGAGGGTCAGCTGTTCCTCATGTAGGAGTATTCAGTTGTCAATATTTCTTAGGATAAGATTGGGGTCTGCTGTTCAATTTCCCAGTTCTATGCTGGGTTACTATCTGGGAATCCCTTTGGCCACCCTGGCCAACAACTCATAAGGAGGTATTGCCTATCTGGCATTGTTGCTTGCTATGTAGCCTTTAACTGTACATATGGTCTCTTACGAAATTATATTGGCCCCTTTAATCTTTGATTATAAATTCCTTTGGGGTATTTAAGGCCACACAGTTGGTCCAGATAAACCGATTTATTTTTAGTCTTAAGGTCGTTTAAGGATCTGTTCCTCAGGGGTCACATGGGTTTGGGAGGAGCCCCTGGCTCCTTTCTTTTACCAGTTTCACCTATGTGAAGATAAGTTAAAGTCTTGCTCTACCATGGTTGACTTTGCTTGGAAGCATGGAGGAAATGATTCCTCTGTGTTGACCTTCCTCTCTGTAGACAGGATACTGGTTAAGGTCCATCTGTTGGGGTCTCCTCGCCTCTTTGATCAAGAGGACAAGTGACCCACCACCATTATAGGACATTTTGAGAGATGCTCATAGTCCCCTGGAACTAGTTGACCTAGGAGGGCTAGGAGCAAAAAGTGTCCTTTATGTCCCTCTGATTAAATTGTTATAAGTCTCAAAGTATGTCTGTTAAACACCCAAGAAGGTTAGTTCCACCAGTCTGGTATTTTTCATTACTGTGTGTCATATAGATAAATCTTGGGCAAAGACCAGTTATTCTCAGATAAACCTTACCTAGACATATATTTCTTGATCTGCTATGTATAATTTGTCAGCAGGGTATAGGAGTGAAATGGTTCCCTCTGGTTTTCAAAAGCAGTTAGGTATTGTTTATCTCTCACATTGTCTCACCCCTCCATAATGGTTTTCCCACTTAAGGTGTCCCCATTTCCCCACTTTTTCCCTTACCAATAACACTTCTGCTATGGTCCTACCTCTCTTGAACTCCTTCTTTCCCTTTATCCCCTAGATTCCTTGTATACCCTTCCCTCCCCACTCCCTTAAACTAACTCAATTTTCATCCATAGCTCCCTTATTAAGGCCTGTTACCTACTATTCTTCTCCTTCAGGTTATTTCTTTTCCTTTACCTCACTGTTTCCTTACCCCTGTCCTGGTTCCTGAAGTTATGTCTGTTTGCATACTTATTTATCAGACATACTTATTTATCAGAGTCTGGTTCTAGGATCCACATATGAGGGAGAACACATGTCAATTTTTTTTCTGAGTCTGTTACTTCACTTAGTATAACAGTTTCTAGTTCCATCCATTTACCTGCAAACTTCATGATTTCATGTTTCTTTACTGCTGAGCAAAACTCCATTGTATAAATAAACCACATTTTCATTATCCACTTACCAATTGAGGAACACTTAGGTTGCTTCCATCTCTTAACTATTGTGAAAAGAGCAGCAACAAACATGGATGTTCAAATATCTCTGCGATAGGATGAGTTCGTTGGGTTTATGTCAAGGAAGGTATAACTGGGTCAAATGGTAGGTTCATTTGTAGTTTTTCAAGAGTTCTCCACACTACTTACCATAGGGGTTGAAACAGTTTCCAGTCCCGCCAGCAGTGGGTGAGTGTTCCCCTTTCCCCACATCCTCTCCAACATTTGGTATCATCTGTTTTCTTGATCTTGGCCAGTCTGACTGGGGTAAGGTGAAATCTTAAAGTGGTTTTAATTTGCATTTCCCTAATTATTAGTGCTGTTCAACACCTTTTAAGATGTTTCATAGCCATCTTTACTTCTTCTTTTGAAAACTCTCTGTTCAGCTCCTTAGCCTATCTTTTAATTAGGTTGCTTCTTGTCTTGATTCTGTTTTTTGAGTTCATTACATATTCTGATTATTAAACCTCTGTCGGATGTGTCACTGGTGAAGATTTTCTCCCATTCTGTGCATTTTCTGTTTGCTTCCTTGGTTGTCTCCTTTGATGGTTTTTCTGATTTCTTCCCTGGTTGCCTCCTTTGAAGTACAGAATTTTTT